AAAATCGAGTTAAAGTCGTATGCAAATCAGGACAAATCTCTTGCTCATATAAAGATGCAGTCACAGGAATGATTTTCCATTGTGTTTACCTTATGAATTATTAGATTTTGATAATTTTATTAATTGTATTATTTAGGGTCGTCTGTTTTCCTACCATGATACCCATCTTCATAGACTGGGCACCAACTACACTCAACTGGCTGTGAACTGCCCTTACAGGACCAGGGTCAAAAACTACCAGAGAGATGGACCTCAGACCTTTGATAGCCAAGGTATGAGCTGGAACTTTTATTTACATTTTATAGTGATGTGATGTGGTGATTACCAATAGCGTCCTTCATGGTTCCCTGTTCCATCTTGAAGTGTAATGGTGTGTTTATATGGAAGTGAGACTTGTTTGGTGTTTGCAATGATAACAACCTTTTTAACACCTACATAGGAGTCTATTATTGTAAGCTTACTGGCTGTTTCAAAGGCTGGAAGGTTGCAATGATAGCAACCTTTTTAACACCTACATAGGAGTCTATTATTGCTAGCTTACTGGCTGTGTCAAAGGCTGGGTGTTTGCAATGATAGCAATCATCTTTAACAGCTGAATAGGTGTCTATTATTGTAAGCTTACTGTCTGCCTCAAAGACGATTGGTTTGCAATGATAGCAACCATCTTTCAAACCTACATAGGTGTCTATTATTGTAAGCTCACTGTCTGCCTCAAAGACGATTGGTTTGCAATGATAGCAACCATCTTTCAAACCTACATAGGTGTCTATTATTGTAAGCTTACTGTCTGCCTCAAAGACAATTGGTTTGCAATGATAGCAACCATCTTTAGCAACTGCATGTACAGACAGTCATTCATAGGAATCAATCATTGTAAGCTCACTCGCCGTCTCAAAGGTTATCTTCCAAGATGCCACAGGGAACTCTGTATGAAGGAGACTATATGACATTAATGCTTTCTTAGTAGGTATTTATTGCAGTTGTGTTAGCATTTAATGTTAGTATATTATAATTGTTTTAAACAGAGGGYGCTCCAAACTACTTCCCTAACAGCTTCAGTGGTCCATGTGATGATCTTAAGTACTCTCCTTCAGCAATGAAGGTATGACTGAACTTAGTGTGAATACTCAAAACTACTTCTAATATAAGCACTATATACATGTACCTGGGGGTAAACTGGGAACGTATCTGGACAAAGGAAGCCCAACCGCTTATAAAACAAAACAGAGAGTTGTCTGTTGAGGGGGCCAAGTTATACTATGAGCTATGGGAGATATTGAGATGAGATCACAAGAAAGCTTAGGTCAATGAGCATATCGAATGTTTATCTTGCATTTTGAGCGTTTTCTTTATCCCACATGACTGTGATTACATCATTGGGCAGAGACAAGCTTTATGACAATAGAGTAAACACTGTTGTGCATAAAATATTATCAATATTAATGGTTGGTGCTTTCCTTTTGAAGGAATTGACGAAATTCAAAGGTCATGGGTTCGAATCCCCTGATTTATTAGCAATGGTCTTTTTCCCGGAATAAGCTCATTTCCAAGCAACATACTTTCCATTATTTATATTTCATGATATTCTTTTAGGTGTCTGGKGATTGTGTGAGGTACAACACTGCTGATGAGGACAATTACTCTCAGGTTGGTGAAATATCCACTCATTAAAACGTTATTTCAATATCCTATATTAAAAAGAAAACGTTTACAAAAACCTTTGATTTTTACATAACAAGTGGTAGAGAGAAAGTATGCTTGAAGGGTAACAAGACCATCTTGTAACGTTCAATTTCTTTTTTTCAGGTGACCAATTTCTGGAATAACGTTCTGAATAAGGAAGAGCGACAGCGTCTTGTTGAGAACATTGGTGGACATGTCAAGGATGCAAAGGAGTTCATTCAGAAACGCTGTGTGAGTGAACAAACTGATTTTAGTCATTGTTGCATTTATTTGTTGACATTAATTTTTGTCATAGGGGTTGATTGTGGTCGATGAATGTATYGCAGAACAAATTCTTGTTTTCTTGATTCAAAATCCCCTTAATTTTCTTGTTTCTTTCCTTATAATTATGTATCTCAATCCTTACTTTGTCTCTGCCTTTCTTCCGTTCTCCCACTCTGCTTTTCCTTCTTTCCTTCCCATGCCTTCCCTTCCTCTCCTCCTCATTCTGTTCTTTCCTAAAACCCTCTCTTCCACCTTCCTCTTTCCTTTTCTTGCTACCTCAACTCAATCCTTCTTTCACTTAAGCTCCATTTTCTTATCCTGTTCTGTCAATTTTCTTTCCTTTAGCACCACCTTCTTTCTTCCTTTCTTCTTTTCTTCCATTCTTTCTTCTACTTCCTTTTACCCTGCACGCAAAGTTCTTAAAGAAATCTCTGTTCGCAAAGCATCCCTTTACTTCTTTTTTTTTTATTTACACATATAATTATTTCCTCCTTAATTGTAAATAATCCCTTTACTTCTTCTTGCTCACTATTGCTTTCCTGATTTGAAATATGTTGCCGTTTTGTTTACGGTTGGTCTGGTTATTTTCAGGTGAGCAACTTTACCCAGGTCCATCCTGACTATGGCAATGGGATTGCTAAAGTGATTGCAAYGCACAGGGTACGTAAAACATCCCATCTTGTGTTATGTCATATAAAGGCTGATTTACACGTTACGATTTGTCGCGCGCGACTTGTAGTATACGATTTTCCTACTACAAGTCGTAGGATTTCAAGCAGTGGTTCAAAATCCTACTACAAGTCGTAGGTTGCGTACGACTGTTGTAGACAAGTCGTAGGGGCATTTACACTGCGCGATTTAAGTCGTATACTACAAATCGCACGAGACAATCGTGCCGTGTAAATCAACCTTAAGTTGTTGACTTTCGTTTTTGCCCGCCCCTATGGAAAAAGTTTATTGACGTCCATCTRGGACGAAATAGTTCAAACATTGGTCTATCAAAAAACGCAGGTTCTTTTTGTGCAATGTCATGATATATCTTTTAAAAATCGCCACAAGAAACGTCCGCAAACATAAAAAAAATATATTCAAAAATAGTCCATGAAAATCGCGTTTTTGTGCGTCACTAAAAAGTACTTGAAAAGTCCTGGAATTTTGTATTGAAAATGTAGTCAAACCCTGTGTTGTGTTCAAAATGTTTACGGTTTACAGTCAACTCTCGAATTACGGACACCTCGATATTGCGGACACGAAATGCTAAATCCCCGGCAAAAAAATACAATTCCCGTTACTACGGACTCTCGCTACTACGGAKACTTAATTACGGTCCCGAGGGTGTCCGTAATAGCGAGAGTTGACTGTATATCAAGTTTTTGACCTTTTTTCAACAGGCTTCAGCTGCTCCTATGGCTAATGCAACCTTGTAAACCGGCCTCTTGCCCGTGATAGCACCGTGCCTTTAAAACCAACATATCCAATCATCAGCGTATTTTTATATAATTGTGATTGACGTTAGTACAGTAACCGATCGTTCCGATTAATGCTTATCACTCATTTTATGATCATATTATAATTAGACACCATACCATTAAACCTCGTAATGATTTTAGATTCGATGTGGACGATGTGAGGTCTTTGGRCGGATTACAGTAGTCTGTTTAGCAACAAKAGTATAAATAGCTTCTTCAAAGGAGCCTAAATTTACATATTGTGTCCGGCTTAGGAGGTCGGCTTAAAAAGGTGGCCGATAATAGAGGTTTTTAAGATTCGTCCATAAGATGATAAGAATTAAAATAATCTCTAAGTCAGCTCGCACTGTTTATGAAATAATGATTTTATTAATAAAAATCGGAATGACCTAGCAATTTTTCGTGAATWGTATTGTGTTCTTTATGTCAATATATCTGGGAATCCATTTTGGAGTCTCTTAGTATCTCCGTAACCTCCTCGGAAACGGTCGTATTCTCGTATTATTTTCGTAAGRCCTTCGGAAAGGATCGCGATGACTTATTTTATATTTCCTTTTTCAATATGTATATAAATCGTGGACATTGTCTCCGTAAACTCCTCGGAAAGGGTCGTTATAGGCTTGTATAATCTCGATAACTACCGAGTCAAGGTCGTTACAGTCCGACTTCGACCCGTACGGTAAAAACCTCTCTAAYAGRTGCATGTGACCACTMTTTGCATTGGACATACTTTTACCATCCACYTGYACYCAGATCTTTGGAGCAGTTTGRTCATGTGCAGATAGAGCTGAGTGATTCGATTGRACTCGAGCAGACTTGGCGCGGTCACCTAACATCGGTAACTGATCYGCAATACTTCGGGTTCTGTTGGTCGGACCCGATGATTTTAAGCGCAGAATTTTTGGTTTTGTTTGTAGTCCTGGTGTAATGAGTTGAACTCGRTCCTTAAATGTTACTCTTAATCCTTTATTTTCACGCATCTTGATATTGCTTTTAGTTACTTCGTGTCCTGGGGAGAACGCTAGGATGTTTGAAGTCTTAACTTCCAGWGCGCTCTCTTTARGACATTCGTTGATTTTTGCCGCGATTTTTTCATTTGAYGTGGAAGTTTCCTTCGCTGTTAACAGACCACTCTGTCGCGAAACGTCAAGGCCGCTATCTTGTGAAAAAGGATGTATTTRCGTTATGTCATCTTTCTCAGAACCAACTRTCTCTACTGTACTATACTTAARAATTTTCCAACAGTTCTGAGTGTTGACTTTTAGGCGTGCGAAATCTTGCCAGGCTATCTGTGTTAATTCGTTTTCTCGTGTGTCAAATCCCTCGCCGCAGCAACTTGTCATGAAGACAAGACACAAGATATCTCCAAGATYGTTTCCTCAGATAAAAAGTCGCWATTCTGACWRCATGTTTGCMTAGAGAGCYTTCAAAATGCTACTGCTTCATACATGRTTACCAGTTTCTTGCAATCCGCTWTTATGGGCTRTRTCTAAAACATTTTTATCCATGAAATTTCRCCAGTAATTTTGTTTTTAATTGGTGTCTTCAAGAGGCCATCTTCTTGTCACCATCTGACYGAGTTCACCAGGGAAACACTCAAGAYCAAATATAGTGAATCGGTTATGTTTGATATTAATTGCGCGTGCCAGAAATGGACGGCTTGATGGATATTGATCGCTKTTAAACTGTTGAGAACGTTTAGCAATAACTATATAACTACCATAATGATGGATGGATTTCCAGGAAGGTAATGCACTTTTGACATGGGAAAGTACAGTGCAGTATTATATCATCAAGTATGTTAAAGCCCTTAAGCCTTCATTTACATGACAAAAGGGTAACTTAAATATTAATATTCTTGGCACGATTCTTTACTGCGCTGTAATTATGTGACTTCGTTTGAAAGTGAATGATTTGAATTAAGGTGGCTGCGAACCTTCAGAACTGCGCTTCACGCGCCTAACTTGTAGACATTCAGCAAGCTTTTTGAAGCTGGGATTCGGGTGTCTCGAAGGTTTACAGTAGCCTTACATTCACATAAATGGTCGGGGGTATTTGATGTTAACGAGCCATGTTTTAAGTTTTCCATTAATCCTATATATGTTTGCGTTTGACATTTGATTTGCTGACATGTTAATCTTTTCTAAGTCCAAAACAAAAAGTCTTAAGTATGATTGGCCTTTGATAATAATCCACTCGCTAGTGTTTGGGTCAACAAATGTATTGTTTAAGCTCTATACTTCAAAACTAATTAATAGATCGATAACCGATGCAATAAAACAGTGTAGTAGCTTGTAGTATGGACCGTACAGAATACTTTGATGAGGTGACGGTTTTGGCAGAAATTTTTGCACAATACTATTGACAAAATGACTTTGACTTCTAGATTGCATGTATTACTGAGCAGTGGAACTTCAAAACTTTTATGAAAAGCTTAAGATACTAACTATATAAACTTTTCTCTATCTTTTTGAAATGAGCCTTTAAAGAATGTTACGAGATTTTATGCTCAAAATGCCCAAATATGGGACATAATTGATTGCAATGTGGCCAGGTTACAACAGCTAGGGTGTGAAATCGATACGATTCCAACATTCGATGCGATCATGAGGTATTTGACGCTCCAAAACTGCTAAGGTAAAATTTTATTTGAATTTATTTCATTCAATGTTTTGGTCGCCATCCTATTTAAGGTTTACGAACGAAAGTTTATCCAATTTAAAATGATTTTTCTCTTTTTAAATCGAATTTACTTCGCGGGAAATTTAAACAAAGTTCAAGAAGTGTCTCACGTGGTAGACGCGTTAAGCTAATATCACTTATCTTTTTAAAAGACTCCTATATGAAGAATACATTAGAAGTAAAGGTTTCAATTACAAGCTCTACATAACTACTAAACAATTAAGGTTTATAACTTGGCAAAGGCAAAATACATTTGTTATTAAAAGAATGGCGGCATAACACACACTCCATGTATTTTCAAGAGGAGTTTGCTGACTTTTTTTTAATGCGTTGTTATGTGTATGTTTTTTTATAAGTTGTATATTGTTGAATGTCTTCCAACAGTGTTGCAGAAGCCCAAGATGGACCAGAACACCTCGGTAAGCACTTAAGAATAAGATTATTATGATCAGCATTAGGAAATCCTATAAAGGGTCTAACCAGCAATTTATGACACTGATCCATCTGCATAATGCAGAGTGAACACTAAAAATTGTTTTTTTTTTCCTTATGCAATTTTAATAACCAAGGTTCAGATTTCTGAGGCCTGACACACCCTTGCCCCCTTGCTATGTCCCTTAAAGTGATAATCATCATTAGGTAGGAATACCACTGTTTTAGACTTTTCCTTGATTGCAATTTGACTACTAAATTGTAHATTCTTTTTAAAAGAGCAATGTCTATGTCACCCTGGATGCATTGCATACCTTGTCATCATTTTGTGTTACATGAGATTATTTTGGCTACTATTTCAGGCTATTTCATTGAGAGGTATATTAAAGATAATAGTTTTATATTAAGCTTGCTGAGCTTTTCAATCAAAGGAAAAATATAAAAAAAATCACCACAGGCAACCCAACTTGATCCAACCTGTCAGAAACAAAACAAAATGGTCAAATCATCCAGGGTGATAGAAATAAAATTGTAAAATTTTGCAAAAAGGATTGTGATTCACAGTTAAAAGGTGAAGCGCATCATGTTAAAGGGCTGTGTTTACCAAGACAATGTTCCTTTTTCTTTCAGCAGCTGAAACAGAATTAGAAAAAAATACTGCTCCTAAGAAGAAAGCTTTATTTGATCATGGCTTAAGATATTAAAACACTGTCTTGTTTTTTATACTACATGTACTTTTCTTGGTAATTGTCAGTGTCTGAGTAGAGTGAGTAACATTACTTTCGCACACGTAATATAAGGTATAACACCACTTAGTTATTGATTATATTCTTTCATGTTGTTGTGGCTGTTTATCAAACTATTACCCTTGACCATTATTTCACAGGCTGAATGTTTCCACTCTTTTTTCAATGTGAAGAAATGTCTATGTATGAGAGCAAACACAGGAGGGATAACCTACACAGCTGTTCCCCCCATTTTCATATGTCCCTTCCCAAAAGAGCTTGATAATGTACCCTGGGCGTAGGCTTCAGGAAAGGGTGACAAAATGTTCTGGTCTTGGATTTAAGTGTGAAAACTTTAATCTCACTCTGTGTCTTTAAATGTGAGAAGACCTTTTGCCACCCTGGCCTAGTACAGAAGATCCTTTCAATGATGATCCAATGGATGACCACAACAGGGCCTATCATTAACAAAATGGACTCAACCTCTTAATAAACAAGGGAAACTGGGGGTGTGATGGNGGGGCATCGGTGGTCCCGTGGGAGCTCGGCGGATGAGGGGGGAGATAGGGGAGGGGGGACTATAGGGGGGAGAGGACAGAGGGGGGTGGGCTGTCTAAAATACCCCAGTAGGTAGTATGCTGGATACCTAATAGATACCTATATAGATACATGTAGCTAATAAATAGTATGTAGAATATATATTTTGCATAAGACAATAAATATCTTGACACACAGACGTAATCCTCCATAGTATTTTATTTTGTCATATTTTAATTCCCAAGGGATAAGATACACAATGCTCAATCCCCTCGATATACAATGTCAATAATGTTAAGTCTGGTTCACAGAAGACAATCAGAAGTTACTCACAAAAGACATTAGCATGACATAAAAAAAAACAAAGTGAAAATTCTTATGCTGATGTCTTTATATGAACCAGACTTTGTTTACATGAGTAATCAGGAACAAAACAATCAAGGGGAAGTCTCCATGTAACTTCCTTTGTATTTATTAATAGTGTTGGCTTCCCTGTGCCACTTTAAGTGAAGGAACAAGGATACTCCCCTCGACTGTTTGTGACCGATGACTCTGAACTTACGATACTAGTACTTGACTATGAAGTTTTGATTGACAAGTCTTAATTTATCAGTTTACTTGACGTTTCATTTTATTTTCAAGAGTATGAAATGTCGGAAGCACTTGTCATCCAGAGACTTCTAGTCAAGTTTATATAATTCAAATGTGATTATACTCATAGGCCCATGGGTATCTGAGAATGTTGCATATTACAATTGAAGAGGGTCTCAGATGCACTTGGGCCTCTAACCATTAAAATATGTTTTAGCCAGACTGTGAAATAGTGAAGCTTATATAGCCACAGATGTCCTCGAGAGACCATTTTGTTATTGAATAATATAAGCATCACACACATAAATTTGGAGGGAATGTTTTAAAACCAGGCTTAGCTTTGGAGCTGTTGCGTCACCAGCTATATGTAAGATGTTTCAGTTATAGTTGCATGTTCACAACTAGGACAGTTTTTCTCAAGTTTCACACATGCAGACAATAATACACCACCTGACCACTTCTCTACTTCACAGTCTGGTGATAAACACTAATTGTGAAAGAACAGCCTGTTCATTTGGGTGCAGGCAAAACACTAGCCATGATACACAGCATTACCCCATGAACACTAACATTAGAGTAACTTTCATAAAACTGTGAAATAGGTTGTAATCATAGAAAAAAGAGAGATAGAAAATAGTGTGCTAATTGTATTTCATGAGTTTATGAAAACAACTCTAATGCAGTTAAAACTGGATGTAATACTGGCTAGCATAAAATGGAAAATTGTTATTTAAGTCATGCATAAGACACGGCATCAGAGATAAGGATAGCATAATGTTAAGCATAGGCAAATAAATGCAAAATTAAGAGGTTAATGAGATTAAAGAGAAATAGAAAATTCATTGTCTAAAGTCCTCTAACGATCACAACGAGGAATCCATTGCCTATGCTTACATCAACAAAGTCAAAAACAACAAAACCACAAATAACAAACTTCAGAAAGCAAAGATGTATCATGACAGGGTACTCAAGTCCAGGTAAAGTTCAAATACCAGATTAATGAAAAAAATTAAATCTTGCAATCTGCATCAGTGTATCAAATGCACAGAAAATCAATAACATGAAACGCAAATAAAAAAATAAAAAAATACTTGAACGCAAAAAAAAATACTTGAACTTTACCTTAAGTAAGAATTGAATCAGAAAGGGAAAAAGTGGGAATTTAAAGATGAATGGGAAAGGTAGACTGGGAAGGAAGGTTTCCAAGATCTGTTTGTCTTGGTAGGAAAAAGATGGGAATAGATTGTTTTATTGTTTGGGGAAAAAATCAGCAGTATGGAATCCAACAGGTTGGCTTGTTCCCTGGCAATTGCAAACACGACCTGCAAATAATAATATCAGCAAAATAAGAGATCAAATATCATGAACCTGGTTTTCTCTTTTTGGATAGTTTTCAAACTCTACTTGAGAAGGAGTGAACATCAACAGGTAAGATGACAGACATTTTATATCTAAATCCGACAGAGTTCTATTAAGAAGAAACCACAGGCTGGACTTATAACAGATCTCAGGTGCTTGGGGAAACCTACATGAAGAGGAAAGAAAGAAAGAAATATCGCACAATGGATAAAAGTTTTAGTGTAAATTTTGCACCATTAAATAATACAAACATGTCTTTAAAAATGAAGGAAGAAAAAAGAAAACAGTTGTAAATGTTATACAAATGCAATGGCAATGATATGAATACCACAYATGCAATAAATGAAAACAGATGTGGAGTTATTCCCACATCAATAAATCAATCAATATTATAATCTTATATTTTTTATACATAATAAGCTTAACTATGATATATTATCACTTGTAGCTCAAGAAGCTCAAGAAATAGTCTATATAGACATTATCAGAACATTATATCATAGACAATGATTACATAGTGATTAACAAGGCTACTATATCAATAAGCAAAGTGCAATAAGTGACGGCATGCTGCACAGAACCTGTATTTCCGAGGTCAGAAATCGACAAACAACATCAATATGAAATGTACAAGTATAAATATTGCACTGAAATAGACATGATAGCATAATTTATAAAATTAGCGTATCATTTTTCAATAAAATACCTTTTAAACAGTGTAATTTCTCGTATTTCTTCTTGTGTCTTCTCCATTCGACGATGTAAAATGGCGGACATGTGCTTGTAAGCGCGGTTAGGCCTGGGCAAGCAAGGAACGCCTAGAAGAAGATGTCGCGAAAAAAAATAAAAAAAATAAAAAAAAACAAGAAAAATAAATTCCAACTTCAGACTACGTCTCACATTTAATAAAAATTATTAATCAAAAAGTTAAGAAAACACTTTGAAATGAGACGTGTTCTGATGTGGGAATCATGCAAATGGCGTAAATAAGCCATCACAATAAATAATCGAATAAACAAGTCACCCAAAATAGAACAATCCCTTGGAAAATAAGGTAAGTTGATGCTATTTTACAAATGCTGATTGTTAAAAATTTAGTTGAATGCATGAAATATGAATAAATGGAAGAATGAACGGAAGAATAATACAATGAAAATGAATAATCAGAAGCTGAGGAACTGGAATCAAGCAGTATATAATGGACTGAAAAAATGGAAAAAATCTTCATAAATGCAAAAAAAAAAAACATTCATCATTTTTCTCAATATGCAAATTACCACAGGGAACCCGCAGCCAACAAAATATCGAAAAAATAAAAGCCTATATTTTTATTGAAAATGATTTTTTTGCAAATATTTTTTTAGATTCCTTCTATTCTACATCCGAAGATACCATTTGGCTTGTTTTTGGCTGGTCTCGCTGCGTTCTAATGGGATTTCGGGAGATGCTCAAACGGTGACTTTTCAGTCACTTTACAAGCATTTTTCTCCTATTTATAATACTTCAATCACAAAAACAAAACCACCACGATAAACACTAGCTATCGCTCTATATATATGCCAAAAAGAATGACGGAGAAATGACCCTAGTGGAAAAAAGGACGAAAAACAGTGTTTTTTGCGATTTTTCGAGTTGGACCAAAAATTTCGAAATTTTCAAACTGCTTTATTTTGAACAAAATGCATATCGTTGGAAAGCTTATTCCAATGGCTACACGAATATGAAGTGAGATTTTGAAAATACTTAAAATTAAAGAAATTGTAGGGGTGGTCCCAAATTTCACGTGTTTTTTAAACTGCTTTTTATTGAACACAATTTATATTGTTGGAAAGCTTAGATGATTTTAAACATGAATCCGAAGTAAAATCTGCAATATCTGTTTTTATTGCGATTTTATAAGCCAAAATGTGCTTTTTTCGTGGAACGCCTAACACATTTTTGTCATGCAAATTTCCACAGGAATCCCGCAAAAGTTTGGTAAGGTCCCAGAAAATCGCACACCTTAAGTAATTTATCCCATTTCATATTGCTCAATAAACGTCATTTCTATTCATTTTCATCCATTATTTTCCTCAAGTACTGTAGGAGCCGCCATTGGTCTTACAAATACCATTTTCTCTTGGTATATTTCTCTATCACTACAGGCCAAAACCACTTAATCTAGCACTTAGCCTTCAAACTACCACAAATACGACAGAAGAAAACCAACAAAGTGTCGATTCAAAAAGAATTTTATTAAAAATTTCTTTTTCTTGGAAATAATGCTTTCATGTGTATTTTATAGCTCTATTTACTGTTCGTTATTTTGATGTGTGAGTATAAATGACGCATTTTCGAGCGTTTTTCCGAAAACTCACTAATATCATTCCTCGTTTTCATGCTTGCGCCAGCCATATTAGTGTTGAAAGCGCTCTCACATCTCGGAAATCACTTATGCATTATCTAAGGGTGGATCCAGGGTTTTTATTGAACTTTGGTTTCAGAAGGGCATTGAAATCCACTCACATTTTCACCGCATTTCATCGCTCTAAAAAACTTGATTTGATTGAATAGCATTTCATTTCAGTGATGTCAGGTATGGTTAGGGGATCGGCCCTTCCCTGGGTCAAGAGTGGAGTGTCACAGCCCCCTGGATCCATCCTTGATGACTGTCTCGCTATATAATGTCCAGGTAATTCCTATCTATGCCTATCTAAGCTGTTACAGTTGTTCTTGCTTCTTCTTTTAAGGTCCGGAGATGAAGTTATCTGGAATTCAGACAAGATGCTACGTGAATTGATGYTCAWGTTGAGATAGGTCGTAGTCTCCCTTTGCAGRCATTTGTTTCGTAACCCTGACACTACTGCAAAGGAAGCTTTATGGGGTGGGTAGTGAGACTCTTTCTTTTCTCTTGGTACAGCGCCACCAGATGCGCCACCATATAACAACTTTTTTACCACATTTGTGTAAATTCTCGCGTGCTGATTGGCTCATTAGAGTGTGTCAATAAGAAGACATAAGACTCAAAACTGTGCGCAATTCGTTAACTACCAAGGCAAGAACTACAATCTTGGACAAAAAAGTAGAAAATAACTAACAATTCCATTGAGTTTCTCATTCATTCTTTCATTACTTACCATTTCTCTTCCATATCTTTCCAGTCCAACTGTCATCCCAAAGACCAGTGGTTCCTATACACTGATCAATTAGCTTGATGATCTTTGCCTATAAATGGATGGAAGTGTTCCTAACTGTTTATCAAAGCACTCGATATATGTAGTTTTCCATTCAATTTCTTTCATTCTTTTATTACTTAATATTTATCTTTCATGTTTTTCCAGTCCAAGTGTCATCCCAAAGACCAGTGGTTCCTATACACTGATCAATTAGCTTGATGATCTTTGCCTATAAATGGATGGAAGTGTTCCTAACTGTTTATCAAAGCACTCGATATATGTAGTTTTCCATTCAATTTCTTTCATTCTTTTATTACTTAATATTTATCTTTCATGTTTTTCCAGTCCAAGTGTCATCTCAAAGAAGCTGGACCAATGATTTCCTACGACTTACACTTGATGATCTGTACCTAAATAGATGGAAGTGTCCCTTACTGTTTGTCAAGTCACTCATGTTTCACTCAATGTATTTAGCTTTTCACTCAGTTTTCCATAGCCTGCGTAGAGACCCTAAAGGGATTGGGGAGGGCCGCTACGCAGGCTAGTTTCAATTTTTCATGAACTTACCGTATCCTCCATTTCTTTTTAGCCCAAATTTCATCCCAAAGCAGCCGCACCAGTGGTAACAACAGGGTCACCTAGCTCGTGTGTACTGGATTGTCTATACCTTTTTAGGAATGGAAGAGAAGAATCCTTTGTCAAAAAATAAACAGAATACCAGAAGATGATTATTGTATTGAATTCCTCTAGAAGTGCAAAATGACTTGATAATAAAATTGACTCATTTATGTGAAAAAATAAACAAAACTTGATATTGGTCTACTTACAATGTCTGAATTTCTGTGTTTTGTTGCTGCTTTAGTCGCGTTTCATAGCGTTTAGTCCTCCACCCACCCCAACCCCTATGCGCAGGAGAAATTATGATCGAACTCAAAAGTCTAAAAACTCGAACAAAATCGGGAATTTCTACTGAACTAGTTCATTTCTAAGTAACGATATGAAATGTAAGAATCATTAAAAAGTACTATGTTAATTTAATAGACTTTAGATTTAGACTTCCGCCCATTCCGTACAGGCAACTCTCAGTATCACAGACATCTTTCTTGACCGCAATCAAGTGTTTGCATTAACAACGGAGTGTTCGTAATATGGTCAAAATAGTGGGGTGTCTTCAAGGTGATAATCGACTGTAAAAATGAGCCCAGCTATAAAAGGATAAAATTAGGATATTATTAGAGGTCGCAAGGATCTCTGGGTATTTTTACCCGGTTAACAACGGGGTAAAATGCGTTTAAAACACATACTTACAATACGTATATTCGTTTTATTTTATCTTTCCACAAATTTAGTTTTATAAGCGAATATCTTTATCATACTATTATTAGATATCTATCCAATAGTTTCAAGCAATGTTGATAATCTGGAACCGAGTAAAATTGATCTGAGACCGACTGACCCCAAAGAAAAACTACGCAAGATCGCTCTTTAACTTCGAATTCAATTAGACCTTTTCTTACAAATGAGTCCTGTTCCAGTTTGGCAATAGATCGACCAGTTTCAAATTATCAACACTCATTGAATTRGCTGTATACACCAGAAAAACCTAGCTTTCCTATAAATCAACATTGACTTCAAAATTACTATTTTTCGTTGAACCGGAAGTTTTTCAGCTAAAGAACGATACGGCATTCGAGCATTCCGTCCATGGGGTCATTGGCATGTAAGAAGGGGTTCCCTATCAAGCAGCAATATTTTTTTCCGTTGTGGTCCCAATATAGACCTTGCTATAAAATGGCATCCTTTTGTATGTGAACGGCCTTATAGGGGCGCTTTCTATTACGAGAATAGGCAATGCTCTTAACAGTTGTTTAGTGATTTACGTGGTTAGAATGCTAGTACCTTGACTGAAGTGCACTATGTATTGCATTAGGTGGTTAACATATCGCAAAAAAAATAAGACTTCTCGTCCTCATGGACTATACCTTCGCCTAGTCTATTCAAGGTCAAAACCGTGTTAATTTAAAAAAACAACCCAATCTATATTGCAGTAAAAGTAGTAAAAGTTAATGTTCATCTCTCATTGGCCAAAATGATACCACGTGAACCATTGTTGAATMTATTGTTGTAATAGTACCCATCAGCCCGATCGGCAACAAGTTGGAGGGCATTGTGGGTTGCATGAGTATTGAGGAGGCCTGGGTTGGCACATTGGGTGACATGAGGTTGTACCATACATTGACTGAGCGGGCTGGGGTGCGTAGCTATAGGAAGTTGCAGGCGCAGGTTGTTGGACGGGTGCAGCGGCTTGCATGATTTGAGATGGGTTAAGCATGAGCGTTGCGCAGTAACCAGTTGGACAAGACCCTTGTTTCACCATCTGATTGTAAATATWCCATTTTAGCAATATAACCGCCATATTGAATCTTTTATCTTTGAAAAGAAATCATTCTATTTACCATGTATATCTACTCACCTTAACTCCRGGRGCAAGTTTTGTATTGCATGGTTTGCAGGCTGTAGATCCCACTCCTAAGACAAAAGAAAAAAGGTTTTCAAATAGCCCAAGCAGAAACCAAAATTTCCTAGAACAAAGCACGTTAAGAACAGCGTCTCTAATGTTAAAGAGCCTCGTACGTAGCCTCGTCCCTTGATTACTGAGCATTAATCGAACAAGTATAGTGGTTTTTATAAACCAACGAAACATAGTGCAATAGTCAAAGCACAATAATGTGGGATACACCGAAAAGACCAGCCAGAAAACGTGAAAAATAAAGAGTGTAGTGCGCTACACAGGTTAATGAAATCCACTTTTAATGAAATCCTACTTTTCCTTGCAAGAGACATCTGAAGCTTTTACGTCAATCAACTGATTTGCAATGCATTGTGGTATCAATTTCCGATGAAAACAAAAGAGATCCGTCATGTTTTGTCCCAAACATATTCCGCAATGCATTGCAAATCAAATAATTCAGTAAAGTGAAAGCTTCAGAGTTCTATTAGTATTTCTCAGTCCAGTACAGATGTCTCTAATCTATGACTACAGCAATTATCAAACCTTTTACAGCAAACACGCTGTTAGGCTTTGAATCTGCCACATGTGMCCCAACTTTAATGGCCTTCTTTTTGAGAGCGTCTTTAATTTTTTGAAGAGGATCTTTGGCTGCTTTTGTGAACTTCAGTTGCATCAACGCCAAGACACTGCCCTTCCTGAAGATTGGAATGGTTGCATGATGATGAACATGATAACAATTGTGAAAATTTCTCCAGTCAACGCTTACCTGAAAGCCACAACATCACAGRTGCAAAGCCCGCCTTTGCTTGCGTAAACCTTTCTCACCTGTCAAAAATAACATTTTTTTTACATTACTAATGGAGCTTTGACAAGAAGTGTGTTATTTGACGATTGTGTACATATTCGTTAACTTCTCTTTACTAAACACATTATTTTAGACAAGATTATTCATGATCAAGTAGTGACGGTGTCCTTCAGTAGCATCGTGTTGTGCAGAATAAAAGCAAAGTTTAGGCCATACGCTATTGTTTAGAAAACTTTTATTTTCTCGAGCTTTCGTCGGTCGCCGACATCATCAGGAGATCATTTTGATCATGATCATTTTGTTGTTGTTGTTGTTGTTGTTTTTGTTGTTGTTGTTTAGTTTATATTGTAAAGCGCATCAATACCTATAAGGATGCGCTATATCAGTTATATAAATACAGTTTTTTCATTACTTGTTGACAAACAGCGAATTCCAGCCTCCTGGACTCTTTGTGCTGCATGTTTTGGTAATAATCTGCGAATTTCAGAGTAGCGAAACGAAGCTCTATCATGAAACTCTTTGCACCACCTAAGAAGAAAGATAAAAAGATTAGTTACAATAGTATCAAGGAACCAAGGAAAGGATACATGATGGAGGGATTCAGAAATGAATAAGGAAATGGTTTTAAAATAGAAAAAAATAATGAAGAAATGAATAAATGAATGGTATACWGATTTATCTATTCAAGCATTTATTCGATTATATGATTGTTTATGCGTAGTTCCGCGAGAAGTTTGCTGTTTTAATTTATTGACATTTACATCAGATAATAGTAATGTGTCTTTAATTCATTTGGTAAAGAATTACATTGTGTGTATTTTTTTTTTAAGATTACGTTGTGTTCGCCCAATTGAATAAAAGTCACCCTTTTTCCCTCCCCTGAATCCGCCTCTGTAGGGAGAAATCAAAAAGCAGCTTTCGATAGGTGCTGTACTACTGCCGAACTAAGACACCTATAGAGAGTAACATAACTCACACGATCCAGAAGACCCAGAAGGCCCAGATGTTCCTGTGGGCTGAGGACGGCTACTTGTTGGTTTTGCGCCTCCTGATGAAGATCCTGAAAAAAACCCGAAACTCGAGTATATTGACTCCGGGTTGTTCAGCGTTAAACAAGGTCTAATTCCATAGTTTTGTTATGAGATAACCCAGGAATAGCGCTAATAGAGCTTTGAATAACCAGTTTTGAAGGGACCCGAGTTGCATTGCACGAAGGATTACCCCTCCCTCCCTCCCACCACGCTTTATGCTCGTATAAGTTACGATAGTGAATATTAACACCCTGTCGGGTTGTCCAAAGCTCGATTAGCGCTAATCCTGGTTTAACTCTTACAACTGACCTATGTAGTTAACCCTGGATTAACGCTAATAAGGCTGTGAACAGTCCTTCTCTTGGAGGTTCTTTTTGTTGCTTGAACTTACCTGGCTTTTTAGCACCTCCTGCAGCCGACCCAGCAGACCCAGGCTTTTTACCAGCTGCCGCCGCTTTTGCAGCCGCMGCTGCGGCAGCTTTCTTTGCTAATGCTGCCTGAGCGGGGCTACCACCAGCCTTTGCAACAGCCTTGGCCGCTGCCTTCCCTGCAGCAGCCGCTGCCGCCGCCGCAGCAGCAGCCGAGCTACCTGACGAAGCGCTTGTTCCGGGTATTTTAGAAATGTGAGCCGCTGATCGAGTTGCGGCTTTTTCCGCCTCATGYGCGGCKAGCTTGGCGTAGATGGCAGCTTGTTTATTAAGCATCGCGGCCTTTCCGACTAAAATTTTGATTTGTTTATATACAGCGTTGACCTCAACGGCGACTTTAGCTGCTTTGAGCGCATAATGAGCGGCTGATACCGTTGGGCTGGCTGGCTTTTTTGCTGGTTGAGAATTCAATCGTTGATGGAAATGACCTAAAAGACGGTATACAAACGGATAAATATACAAATGAAGTGAATAGGGAACTGGGAATGAGGGTGCGTAATGCATCATRTAATCACTCTTCAAATGCCCAGGTGTATCCCATTAGCCTTTGCGCGGTATTCACACATACAATAAGTCGCCATCTTTGATTTTGAACCAATCAGAAAGCAACTTTCCATAAGAGACCATTTAAAAGAAACCAGACGGCCGCAAAGATTCTTTGATAGACGTGGGTCTTTAACGTTACGAGCCCGAGGCATTAGTCTCCTTTACGGTTACCTGCGCCATCTTGAAAGGTAGCCATGCCTTTGCATGGAAGCGAGACGACCATTGAGTTTGAAGGAAGGTTTCAATTATTGCAAGCTCAACAGTCATCTCGCTTCGAAGCAAAGGTATGGCTACCTTTCAAGAAGGCACATGGAAACGTGAATTATATTGTTATGATGTACCATTGTTATGACTCTTGTGACGCCAGTTGTCAAGATCACGATACATCTCGTCTACAGAATCGCCAATATACTCATAACCTTGAATAAGAGAAAACAKGAATGAAAACAAAAGAATGGAAATGGAAAATGCAATCATTGATACACCAGAATRATTCTCGTACCAAGATCTTTCCCAGTTTCCTAACGGAAAATTGATTTTCAGTTAGGAAACTGAGCAGGATTGAACTGGGAAGAGAATGTACTATAAGGCTTTCATTGTTATTTGGATCAAGGTTTGGTTTATAGGTCTTATAGGGGGCCGCGCATGAAGTACTGACCTTGAACAATCCCTTGCGATGCCGCAAGAAACAGGAAACACGTGATCCACATGACCTATAATATACCACGTGATTTTCATCAGAAACACTTCATAGGTAACCTCATTCTAAGGTAATTTTCAAAATCGGTTCTTGGGTCATAAGTTTGAATAGAAGTCATGTTAGGGGTGCGAATAAACAAAGTTGTAAAATACTCCCTAAGGTCAGTAGCAATTTGGTACCACAAAAACAATGAAATTTGTCAACAATGCAAAATAAATGCCAATAAAAATCACTGAAAAGTGTAAACCTGACAGAAATCATTTCAGCCAAACAGAGAGACCCCAGCATTTTGCTCAAATTTAATGTTTATGTAATAAGAGCAGGTATCACAAGATCGCTGATTCTTCTAAAACGATAATTGAAATTTTCCGCATTGATTTTCAAGTGATACTTTCTAGAACATTAACGCCTTTTCCAAGCGAAATAGTTCGCTTTTCATGTTTTCAGTTTCCAGTAGCAAAGTGCCGAGTTAATTTTRTCAAGTTTTCATAACCTGCAAGTTTAGTTTACAAATTATATCCCTCTGGATCAACGAAAACGTTTCGTTACATGTAGGTAATGAAAAAGGCTTTGAAAGGTAAAAAATTATTGCAAATACAAAAACGTAAGTCCTGGGGACATAGTTGTGAAGTTAAAACATTAATAAACTAACCTTTTTATGAAGAAACAAGGTCTTGAGTTGATGTTTTTACAGTGTTTCTTCACCAGTAAGATATTTAGATTTTAAAAATAAAATAACCAAATAAAGCGTTTAATCGTCCACTCATGATTCAAGCAATAACCTTCCAAAAATGTAAACAATATTTATGAAAACAGTGACTGGTATTACGCGCCTGGGATCACTGAAGAAAMAGCAATCGACGCAAGATAGTAAAACTTCTAGTTTCCAAAGACAGCCGATACAAGTGTAGATTTTGTCTGTGTARTTTGCCTTTAAGTTAAAATTAGTTTTGTACTATTAAAGGTGATGGTAGAAGATTGCTATTGAAATAACCATTGCGTTAAATAAAAACGGAAAACGAAAAAATGAAATCTTCAATATTAGACCTTGTTACACAGTGAGCGACGCAAGTTGCACACTCTCTCAAATTTCAAATCGAACAGAAAGACAAAAATCGCACATACTATAATATGTCTCAATACCATCAATTACAGAATTAATGATTAAAAAACTTAATAAATGCAATTTCCAAATACGAGTTAAAAAAGGAAAACGTGAAATTCTCCTAAAAAAAAAGAACAACTAATAATAAGCGTAGATAAAACAATATCAATAATCAAATAACAATAACAATGAAAAGCAAAAAAATGATAAAAGAAAACAACAAAAACTGAAATAAAACGCAAACACTTTCGAGATTACATGAACTGAGCCTGCGTTCAAAATGACCAGCGTTCAKCCAAATGTTTACACGCAACGCCGTTACAAGGAACTTGGGTTGCGGTTTGGCTAATTTTTGACAAGTTCAACCGCACCTAACCAACACTTTCCTGACAAAATAATGCCTTACTAAATGCTCTATTATCACATCTTCAAATGATCTCAGTTTATGGAGAGTTTGGTTGAATTACGAGRGTCAAAAATCAAGTTTCGTCAGCCTAAAGTTTTGGAACTGAAATGAACAACAACGTTGAAACTGACGATCTGAGTTTGGCTGAGAAAGCTGCTTCAGAAAGATTCTTCAACGACTTAGATCCTCTTAAAGAGGACGTAGCTGAGTGGTTATGTCGAGTACTTAAGGTTGACATAACAGCTGAAAATCTCCTTGATTATTTAGACAATGGAGTGCTTGTTTGCAAGTTAGCTGAGATCGTGCAGAAGGCAGGAGAGGATTACTCAAYGTCTGGCAAAACTGGACCATCTTTCCCTCGTGTTGCTGTTAAATATAACAAAAATGCAAAGAGCCAGTCCTTTCCCGCTAGGGATAACACTGCGAATTTTTTAAGTTGGTGTAAAGAGATCGGAGTTCAAGAATCTGTCATGTTTGAGTCAGATGGGCTTGTTCTGCATAAACAGCCCAGAGAGGTCGTACTGTGCTTGTTAGATGTTGCAAGAGTTGCTGCAAAAGTTGGAATCGAGCCACCGAATTTGATTAAACTGGAGAATGAAATTGATAAAGAAATTGCTGATGGTGACAAGAACAAGGAGGTGCCGAAACCAAAGACYAAAAAGACTACAAAAGCTTTGAAGATTGACACAGAGGTATGAAATCATCATAAATTTTAGATATTGAAAGGAAATATCATATTTTGTTTTGACGTTTTACAGTGATTACTTCTCTCTAACTGAGTTTAAATTTATTCGTTTCTKCATGTGTTATTTTTCTCACCCATTAACACAAATATTGTACAAATATTGACTCAATATACATACAATATCTGTCATAATCATTTTAAGTAACTATCATCAATCTCAAATTGTTTTAAGTCATGTGTTGTGAAAATTGTACCGATTCTATCAATTTTRCCATATAAATCTGTTTATAGAACACATAACATATTATGATACCCCATACTGAGATATTATGATATTGGCTGACCAACAAATATTCCTAAAATATTCCTATTTATAAATTAATTTTGTTCARATTCTGATATTGACAATTGGATCTTTTGGTTCCTCAGTCCATTGGCACCTTTCAAGATGGCATTTGGAACAYCAAAAAGCAGTGCTGTTATAA